ATATTTAAAATATTATTTATTATTATGTTAATTTCATCATAAGGGTACCAATTTAGGGCATTATAGGGGTGCTAATACCTTGCCTACATGTAACCGACCCCGAACCAAATTTTGGTTGTTAAGGCCATTATTGTATTTTTTTGAAAACCTTTTCTTTTTTCAATGTTTTGAGTAAAACATTGGTGGTGAATCCATGAACTCATTTTTAAAACAATTAATTAAGGATTAGTCTGGTCTCCGAGTATTCCCTAATTGATGAGATTTTTCAAAAAGGTAGTCTAAACCATTGGTCGTGAGATCAAAATTTTTCAGGTTACGACACACCCTAGGATTATCATGATGTGAAAAATAATTGAAAATTCATATGGACACTTATTGAAGAGTCAGGAGATTATTCAATCAAATATTTTCTCATGTATTGTTGGTTCCTAAGGGAAGTTAATAATTAGACCATTACCAGCAAAAATTGAGAATGAATCTATCTTATTTTTAGAACGGATATATGGTGATATTTGTGAATTAATACACCCCCATGTGGACCATTTAGATATTTTATGGTTTTAATTGATGTATCAACAAGATGGTCACATGTTTATTTATTATTAACTCGCAACCAAGTATTTGCAAGATTATTAGCTCAACTAATTCGATTAAGAGCTCATTTTCCTAACTATCCAATTAAGAAAATTTGTTTGGATAATGTTGGTTAATTCACATCTCATGCTCTTAATGAATATTATATGTCCATTGGAATTGATATTGAACATCCAATAGAAAATGTTCATACACAAAATGAACTTGTAGAATCATTCATCAAACGTTTAAAACTAATTACAAGATTATTACTCATGAAATCAAAACTTTCAATGTCAACTTGGGGCCATGCAATCTTACATGCTATAGTATTAATTCGCATCAAGCCAACAAATTATCACAAATTCTCTCCTTTACAGTTTTTTTTTGTGAGCAACATAATATTTCTCATTTAAGAATCTTTGGGTGTGTTATGTATTTCCTAATTGCCCCCCTCAAAAAACTAAAATGGGTCCTCAAAGAAGGTTAAAAATATATGTTGGGTATGAATTTCCATCTATAATAAAATATATTGAACTATTAACTGAAGATTTATTTACGACTTGTTTTGTCAATTGTCATTTTAATGAGTTGATTTTCTCAACATTAGGGGGAGAACACAAATAACGAAAAATATATTAGTTGGAATGAATTATCACTATCTCATCTTGATCCTTGTACTAAATAATGTGAATTGGAAGTTTAAAAGATAATTTATTTGTAAAATTTAGTCAACCAATTACCAAATGTATTTACAGATCTAAAAGAGGTGACTAAGTCATATGTATTAGCCGTAAATGCTCCAATAAGAGTCAAAATCACTGTTGGACAATCTAATACTACAAATGAGTCACAAATATGCTTAAAGCGTGGTAGACCAATTAATTCCAAGGATAAGAATCCTAAAATAAAAAAGGGGGCTAAAGAGCAAAATTATCAAATTGAGGATGTAAAAACTCAAAAAGATTTCTTTGACATAACTAATATTTCAGTTCTAGAAGAAACTCAGGTACCTGAAATTATTGAAAATGAAGAGATATTAATAAATTATGTCATGAATGAAATACGATGGAACTGAAACAACGACAATATTGATATGTATTTTCATATAATATAGCGCTAAATATAATAAATGATATTGAGGATCAAGAACCAAAGTCCATCAATGATTGTCGATAAAGAAATGGTTAGACAAAATGAAAAGATGTAATTTAGGTAAAATTAGACTCGCTTGCTAAGCAAAAAGTTTTTTGACTAATACTATGTACACCAAGAAGTGTAAAACCAGTTGGATACAAATAGGTTTTTATGCAAAAAAAAATAAAAATGGTAAAATTGTGAGATACAAAGCAAGACTAGTTGTTCAAGGATTTTCAGAAGACCCGATATTGATTTTGAAGAGACATATTCACCTATAGTGGATGTAAGTACTTTTCGATATTTAGTTCATTTGGTTGTACATGAAAAACTTAATTTACATATAATGAATGTAGTTACAACATATTTATATGGCTCTCTTGATGCTAACATTTATATGAAACTCGCATAAGGATTTAATTTGCCCGACGATGCAATTTCTAGAGAAGATTATTTGATCAAAAGTTAAATAAATCTCTATATGGGCTAAAACAATCAGGTCGTATGTGGTATAATCGACTAAGTGAATATTTTTTATAGGAAGGATATAAAAATGATCCAACTTGTCCATGTATATTTATAAAAAAATCTGAAAATGAATTTGTCGTAGTTGTAGTTTATATAGATGGCATAAACATTATTGGAACTCCTGAAGAGCTTTCAAAAGCAATCGATTGCCTAAAGAAAGAATTTGAAGTGAAAGATCTAGGAAGGACAAAGTTTTGTTTAGGACTGCAAATTGAATATTTAGAAAATGGAATTTTTGTGCATCAAGAAACTTACATAATAAAGGTGCTTTAAAGGTTTTATATGGACAAATCACATCCATTTTGCACTTTTATGGTTGTAAGATCTTTAGATGTTAACAAAGATTCATTTAGACCCTAAGAAAAGGATAGAGAAATATTTGGTCTCGAAGTATCATATTTCAGTGCTATAGGAGCACTAATGTATCTTGCTAATTATACACAACCCTGATATAACATTTGTTGTTAATTTATTAGCAAGATATAGTTCTTCACCTACACAAAGACATTAGAATGAAGTTAAATAAATCTTTCGTTATCTTATAAGTATAGTGGATATGGGGTTATTATATTCAAAAATGTTCCCAAACCATAATTAAATGGTTATGCAAACGCAGGTTATTTGTGAGATCCTCATAATGGTAAATCACAAACATGATATTTGTTTACAAGTGATGGTACAACCATTTCATGGCGATTTGTAAAACAAATCATATCAGTCACTTCATCTAATCATGTAAAATTTTTAGCATTACATGAGGCAAGTCATGAATATGTTTGGCTAAGATATGTGATTCAATATGTACGAGAAACTTGTGATTTATCTTATGAAAAAATGACATGAACAATTATATATGAAGATAATGTTGCATGTATTACACAATTGAAAGATTGATACATAAAGCAAGATAGTACAAAACATATTCTACTAATTCTTTTTTACTCATGATCTTCAAAATAATGGTCATATAAATGTTCAACAAGTTCACTCAAGTGACAACCTAGTAGATCTCTTTACAAAGTCACTTTCAAGAAAAGTTTTTGAATAATTAATACACAAAATTCGACTTCATTGTCTTAAAGATTGTATGCATGAGGGAGAGAAATAAACATTTATGAATGATGTACTCTTTTTCCTTCACTAAGTTTTTATCCCACAAGATTTTTCCAAGTATGGTTTTAGCAAGGCACATTCTAAATATTGGATATCTAACGGGGAGTGTTATGAATAATAATTAGTAGCTCAATTAGTATATGTCAATATTCACTATCAATTATTACCATTTATATTTTCATTATATATTATTCTTTTTTATGTAATTGTTCGACTATCACATATATTTATAAATAGGTTAATTCTCTTCCAAAAATAAATATATCAATCAGATTCTTTTCTCCATCTCATATTGTCTTGTGCTTTTTTTTTATAACAATATATATATATAATTGAAATACTTTTTTTGTGAGTAATAAGAAATTTATTTAAATTTTTACTAATTCTTGTTAAAATGTGGAAACAAAATGACATCTACATATTAATATAAATGATTACCCTTTTGTGTACGTATTTTTTTTTGGCCACTTTATCGTTATAATCACTTCTCAAACTACGTGTTCTCTCTATAATATTCTCAAAAAACTATCATTACAATTACACTTAAACAAAAATTTATTATTAATTCATTCACTTTTTATATATATTTTTAAAATACACATAAATACGAAGTATTTCTTTTACTTTAAAGATAAAGTAGTTTATTTAATAATTAACATAACTTGTTTGTACTCGTACCGCCGCGTATATTAAGTTACACAAATGGGGCTACGAGTGAGGACGGATCCTCTTCTACTTCTCCCACCAAAGCTTTCCTCTCAAGACAAAATCAGGATCATTCATTCTCCTCCTTGTACAATCACCAATCAAGGGCTCAGATCTTACACGGATTTCAACTACAGAGGAACATGATTGGTAGCGACACTCCACGGAACAGGACTACAACATTGATTGCTAGTAATGGTAATACCACCAACATCAACGTTCCTAAGTCATTGATATTCTACCACCGTACCACGTGGATAATCGAAGACGTTTCATTATATCCTACCACAAATATTTGGCACAAGAAGTCAATTGATCGTACAAACTCAACGTGGTGTAAAGTTACAAGATCATAATCAAATCGCCCCTCTATTCATCGCAATTCATTGCTCACAACGACCCTTGTCCCCAGCCAATTACCATGGATGTAATCGTACATGTGTGTCTTTTTCTACATGAGATATGAATATATGTGATTCAAGTTGCTTATTATGTTGATCAATTTCTCCTGCAACTCAACATAAAATTATTTTCTACAATTGGTTCAGCATTTATTTTTATAATATTATTTTTCCTTTATAAAAATTATCTGATAATTTAGTGAATCCTTTTTTTATGTATATGATGAACTCCAATTCAATGCCAGATAGGCGTGGCTACTGAGACCAAGGAAGGACCACCCTTAACTATCCCTGTACTATTTGTCACCTTGTGAATTATAGTATCTCTTCGAGTCCAGCCAGCCATATTCATGCCCCCACATGTTATCAATGCTCAAAGTGGTCGTACTCGTGGTCCGAAACTATCAAACTCTGAATTAATCTTTATATGAAATGTAATCAAGTATAATATTTTCATCATATCACATTAAAGTTTATATGTCGCCTTTATTTTTTTTATCCATAGAGTTTTACACATCCTAATTAACCAAAGACTTCCAGAATAATTGATCACACGATGTGTGGAACTATATAATAATTTCTCCTTTATATGAGGCCTAAATTGAACACATGCAGCGTCGACAGCCACACTTTCAATGCCCTGATTATTAGTTTGTCCATATCTGATATCTCAGTTCATAGTCATAACCATTTCTCACCCAAGCAAACAGTATCAGTGTACTACTAGAGTTTTTATCTTTTATTTTGGCAAGTCTTCAATCCCAAAATAAAGCCATACCTATTACCTTCCTTCTTAGGCATGCTCATGGCTTCCTGCCTCCACTGATGTTGCAAAATGGTAAGAACTCCTTGCTGCAGCCATGAGGACTTGAGAAAAGGAGCATGGACAGTTCAAGAAGATCAGAAACTAATAGCTTACATTCAGAAACATGGCACAGGAAGCTGGCGTACCTTGCCACTCAAAGCTGGTCAAATTTTTATTTAACCCTCTTTGTACCATCTTTAGTCTTAGTCTTGTATGGTTCACATTTATGTAGTGGATCCTTAGTCTAATTTCATTCTCCTTTTGTAGAATATAAATAGGATATGAAAATTTGTTCTTCTACTGTTGTTATTGCTGTTGTTTTAGAATATATCCATTTGGGTCAATAATTTTCATCTTTATATTATGATAAGAGTTCAGCATCATGGAACATTACCTTTGATTTCTACTGGTTAGGGAATAACATTTGCCACTAAATAAAATGAGGGTAATGTTTTCTTGGGTATTGTGCAGGTCTTCAGAGATGTGGAAAGAGTTGCAGGCTTAGATGGTTTAACTACCTAAGACCCGACATTAAGAGAGGAAAATTAAGCGAAGAAGAAGAGCAGACAATTATAAAATTTCATGCAATTCTTGGCAACAGGTGAAACTGTGAAAGATCTAGCTGCTATAGCTCGAATCTGTAGTTATATGAATGTCTATAATTAGATAGCCTCAAGAAGTTTTGCATTCAATATGTTTTTGTTTATGATTTAGGAAATTCCTATGAGAATGACACCGTAGACTTTTAGTTTCTCATCAATGATGTTTGCTCTTTGACTCTTTCCAATGGATAATATGAACCAGAATGTAGCTCTGCACTTAATTAAGCAACTTGTTTCACTTGATATGGTGGCCAATTTTTATTACATTGTGATAATATTATTTTCCTGCTAGGTGGTCAAGTATTGCAAAGCACATACCAATGCGAACAGACAACGAAATCAAGAACTATTGGAACTCATATCTGAAAAAGAAAATTGAAAAGAAGGTTGATAGTTCCACAGAATCAAAATCCAATGACTTGTACATGGTTTCATCCAAGAAAACTCCATGCCATAATGAACCAAACTCCACCACACACCAATCTCATCATCACACCTCATCCAATTCAATGTCATCTTCTACTCAGCTTCTCAACAAAGTTGCTAGTAAGATTCTGGCATCTGGGTACCTTGAAGCAATCAAATCATGCCAACCTATTGTTGCTAGTGAAAGTGTGTTCAAAACAGGAATTGGGTTAGAAAAGGGCAATAACAATATCACAGAACCCGTTGTGCCTAATTTGGCCTCATCAAGTCATTCACTAACTTCTGCTAAGTTACTAAACAAGATGGCTACTTCTCTCCCTCATAAAGCTGATGCAAAAGCTGTGATTTCGAAATTGATGGAAAATGGTGAAAAAGGTGAGACTAGTACTAGTGATGGTAGCTTTATTGGCAGTGATCAAGTTGGAGGTGGTGGTTGTTTAAGTGCTTTAAGTTTAAGCCCTTTTGAGGATGGACCACACATAGGAAAAATAATTAATGGCTCTCCCTCTAGTCCTACATTAATGTTCAATCAAGAAACCATTACCACACCCTCGTGCTTTTCTGATAATGAAGATAATTGGCAATGCGTTTCATCAAATGTTGCTTCCTTCAGAAACTTTGAAACAAGTGGTGGTGACTGCAGTGTGTCTGAAATCAACTTTGGTGAGTCTTCTAGCTCCACGTCGTGCTTCCTGTTTGAAGATGCTGATCTTCTTGGAACGTGTGATGATGATATAACCAAGTACATTCAGTATTTGTAGCACAATTTGAAGGCCTTTTACTGTTTTGTAATAAGAAATTATGTTCCTTGTAACTTTTTTTTCCTGTAACGGCAGTGTAAAAATAATAGCGAAAAATGTATATAGAATAAAGAGAAATGCTTTCTTACTCTTTCTAACACATTTTTTTCAAACACTTTTTTTAATAAAATTTATTAAAAAATTCAAAATTTGTAAATTATGTATATTATCTAATGGTTTTTTTTATTTAAGGATAAGATCTACTAAAATTTGTGATTTCAAATAAATAATATAAAAAAAATGAACAAAAGTGTATTGAAAAAAATATCGCTATCATTTTTTATGGAATACAATAGCTGATACAACCAAACAAAAATGAAAAAGAAAATAAGAATGTAACTAAAAAAAATTGTACGAAGTTAGGACCCACGATAACTCAGTGAATAAAGCGACCTCACTAAAATAGATTATACATGATTAGGAGTTTAGGACCCACTATACCTCAGGAGTAAAGCGACCTCAATCTAACATAATAACATATACTTTGTAATTTTAATTAAAAAAACATATACTTTTGTACTATAAGATATGAGACTATCATGGTTAGAGTTATTCTATATATAACATAATTAAATTTTGTTAATTTATTTTTATGAGTTAAAAAATTAGATGTTCCATTAGGATATGAATATGTAGTAGTTTTGAAATATTTTATAAATTTTTTTTAATGTATTTCTTTATTTTAAATATATTTTTAATCCTTTAAATTTAAGATAAATTTATTTTTTAGTTTCTCAAATTTAAAATTCATTCTTTTAATTTTTGTAAATTAAAAAAAGTATTTTAACTTTTCATGTCACCATCAATGATAGATTAAGATAAAATGATCATTTAATTTTAATATGATAATCAAGTAAATTTTATTTAACATTATTTAATAGATTCATCGGAGATATATGAATAAGAATTAAAATAAGATTTTTTAAAATTATAACTAAAAAATTAATTTTAAATTAAGGGATTAAAAAGAAATTTAAGTAGTCCTTATAAACATACTAAGCCTTTTTTATATATATCCAAAAAATGCTAAGTCTTTTTTCTTTATACACATCCGTGATAAATATATTAAAGCATCTGTCATGGGGTTGCTAATAAGTAACTCTTGTGCCACATCACTGCCACATTAGCTCTAGTCTACTTTATGAGTTATTTAAATTTTAGAAAAATTACTTAAAAAGTAATTTTGCTAAAATTTAAACAATCCATAAAGTGAGTCAGAATTGATGTGACACAGGAATTACTTATAAGCAACCCCATTGTGTTATGCCTTTTTCATTAAACACATTTTGGATTATTAGTTTTGATTTATCGGTTGTAACACAATTGTTTCTGCGTGATTGGTGGACCTCATGCAATAATGAATATAAAGAAAACGTGCCATTTTAGTTGTCTTGTTGTGACGTTTCTAACATTTATTTTTATTTGTTTTTTTTCAAAAAATAAGTAAAAAGACAAAGAAAAGAAAAATAGTAAGGAACAAACTTCGTTTACACAGGTAAGCAAAGGAGGGATTGGTTTGAGATCCATTTTTAAGACCCTAATTCATTTTTTATTTACGGATTGATTTAAGATCGAGACTATTTAAAATAAGAGTGAATTTACTAGAAATATAAGTTTAACTTCTTATTAATATTTTAAGAATAATTTATATTTGATTATTATGTTTAATATTGGATTCCTTTGTTTAAATTTAAAAATAAATGTTTTAAATAAGTATTTAAAAAAAAGAGCAATTCTTTAAAAAACACATGGGAGTTGTTTTAAAAAAAACAGCAAAAACTTGCTTATTTAAAAAAATAGACAAAAATATAAAATAAATAAATAAGTGCTTATTTTATTAAAAATAAGGACTTTTAGAGAGAGAAAAAAGTTAAACAAACTGACTTATTATATTAATTCAATTAAAAAATAGTTTTGATATTAGTATAAAAAATATTAATAAAAAAAAGTTAATAGGTTAAATTTTTTCAATAAATTACATTACAAAATACAAAGATGGATTGAGATGAATTATATTTGATCCTAATTTATCTCTTAAGTTTTGATTGAGTCAATTTTTTAGATCTTAACTCTTTCTTAGACTTGAATGAACTGATAAATTATTAGTTAAATTATGACAAGTTGGATCAAACCGTCGTGTTAATTAGGCCTTCCTTACTTATATTAGATATTTTGTTATAGAAAAAAAAAATACATGTACATAAATATATACAATACTTTGTAAAATATAATTGTGTCTATTTTTTTATCACATCCTGTGTTATATGTTAGGTCCAGAGTAGGCTTAATAGTTACTCACAGCTAAAATAAGAGATGAGAAAAAAAGAGACAAGGGAGAAAATAACCACAGTAAAAATATTATTTACTGAAAGGGAGGAAATTACAGCACTTCTCTCTCTATAACTTACTCCTTTGAATTAGGAGACTACTACTACCGAGAACAGATCTCAAGGTGTATAAGAGAGGAAGAGAGAAGAGAAGAAGATTTGGGATGAAAATTATGGTTTTCAGCTTCCCTATTTATAGGAAAGTCCCAATGGCATTTTCGTAATTTCTCCTAAACTTTTAATATTATTTTATTAT